TTACGGCAGAAACCGCAGTGGCAGCTCTAAATATCACCGCGCCTAACAGCACAGACATCAATAGCACTCAGCAAAGGGAACGCAAAAAAAATTCAGCGGCGAAAAGTTAAACTGAAGCGGTACAAGTTTTTTAGCTCGCTTCTCCCCCTAATGTAATACCCTGCCCCGATCTTTGTAACTGAAAACACCTGAATAAAAACAAGACTTGAAGAACAAAAAACGGGAGGCCTATTAAACGCGGGAGGCGCGGAAATAATAGTTGTTACATCAAATTTAACAAAATGATATATCAATTGTTTAAGTTAGTTAAGTCTGAATAAATTAAGAACATGCTATATATCAGGAAAAAGGTATATGGAAAGAACGACTTTTGACCGATTGAAATTATGGTAGCTATATGATATGGCTATATAATCGGCCGATTCCGACGGCCTTCATATTTCACACAGTTGCTATTTATATTTCTGGCCCAACAATGAAAAAACAAACTTTGCTTACTGAATAGTGTTTATGAAGACGAATACTTTTGAACTCAGAAGGAAGTATCTCTGAAAGGCTCAAATTCGTATATCTACGCTTTGTGACATTAGTCAGACTGCATCTTGCAAGAGGCGATGCAATTACTGCACCGTCAAGTGGCCCGTCTGAAACCATCAGAAGGCTGTTACTCGAGTATGCAAGAAAGATAGCTGTTAGACTAATATTCGATAAAAATTAGCACTAAACTTACTAAGAGAACTAGGGATGCATTCAAAAAAAAAATACCACTACAATTACTAATTACTAGAAAGGTGTGTAAGGATTAGAAATTTAATAAGAGGAAGAGAATTAGTGAATTAGAGAATTAGAGAATCGTGAAGTTTATGCGGCTCAACAGATCAGGGTTGTCTATGTCACCCTGATCAAGTTGTGCATAAGAATCACACCAAGCATTTTTCCACGGTTAACTAAGGATGGGAGGTTTACTAATAGCAGTCTACTAGAGTAAGATGGGAGTCTCACACCTGCATCCCAGTTAAGGCCCCGCAGAGCAAAGAGTAAAAAGTTTTTCTGTACTGATTCTATACGGTCCTGGTGTACTTTGTACTGAGGGCACCATACGCAGGAGCCGTATTCTAAGATCGGACGAATAATCGAGGTATATAGAGTCTTTGTTATATAAGGGTCGTCAAATTCCTTTGACCACCTCTTTATAAACCCAAGCACGCCCATGGCCTTATTTACAACAATAGAAATGTGTTCAGAAAACTTTAACTTGGGGTATAACATAACACCCAGATCATCCACCAGGGTAATTCTCTCAAGAGAACAGCCAAATAGGGAGCCATCAAGGGGCTAGAAAGATGAAATGTCATAACTTTGCACTTCGAGGCATTAAGGTGTAACAAGTTTGCGCAACATCATGACTGAAAGATATTGAGATCGGATTGCAAGCGAGAATGAAATGAAATGTCCTTATACTGGACACAGAGTTTAACAACATCCGCATACATAAGTACTCGAGAGTATGTTAATACCGAAGGCAAGTCATTACTAAAGAGCGTGTAGAGTAAGGAGCCTAGATGGCTGCCCTGTGGTACTCCCAAAGAAACCTTTACTGGTGAAGAGAGGGAGTTTTTGAAGACGACTCTTCGAGACCTGGAACAAAGAACCCTAAAAGGTCAAGTTTATGCACTAAAAGGGAATTGTTTACGGAGTCAAATGCTTTACTAAAGTCGGTGTAAATAACATCCTCCTGTAAGTTACCTTGAAAGCCTTTAATAATGAAAGAGGTAAACTCTAACAAGTTTGTGGTGGTTGATCGCCGCCTTATAAATTTATGCTGAGTTGGAGATATATGTAAGTGACTTGCAGAGATGTTGCAAGTGCGGAGTTAAAACCTTCTCAAACATTTCATGAAGTAGGGAACATTCATGTAACAAGGGACTGAAAATGCCGTTCGACCTCGGTAAGCCGTGTGAGTACGGATGTCCAGAGTAGCTTTCCTCAGAATAGGTGGTTTGAAAAAATTGGGCAGAGATCGGCAATTGCCTGATCATTATTTGCCGACGTATTACAAAATGATAGCGAGGATGGGTGTGCGTGCGGACGCTCTACGCTTACTGTTTACGAAGCAGTAAAACTGTTTTGGGTCCTGAGAAAAACGTATCCTGCATCGAGATAAGTAGTTCTTATAGCATTGTGCATTAAGACCTGAAAGTTTGAAAGCTCCTACATAGCGAGAGTGAGAAGTAGGAGAACCAACTTCTTGAAATTTTTTATAAAGTCTTGATCTTAAGTTTTTTTAGGCTGGATAACTCTTTGGTTAACCAAGGGGGTTTTCCAGATCTAATTGGACAAGAAAGCGGGACACAAGAATCAAAAAATGTGCCGACAGCATTGTACAAAATGTTTGTGCTTTTTATGACATCAGTGCACAAGTACAAAGCGGACCAATCAAAATCCCTAAAGTCATTAAGCTTCGCAAACTCGGCTTTACGAAAGCAGCGGACACAGGTAGCTTACTAGACCGATCCAATACAGTTGGTCCTATATCTAACGACACTTCGAAAGTAGGATGGTAGGCGTCTTCAGGTATAGTGAGCGGAAGGGCTCGGGCTAACAACACTATGGTCGGATTTTTTTCTGAATTTTTCACTGATTGAGTTGAGACAGGGACAGGTCAAGCAAGCCGTTAACAAAGTCATGTCGTGCCATGGGCACTAGGATACTAGACTCGTTTACCGAAGACCAAACAGTTCCTGGCAAGTTAAAGGCACCAAGAACTACCATATGATCTTTATCTGATAGCGAGGAAGAAAGCGGTTAAAGCGGACAAGTGCTGCTCATAAATAGAGATATCCGAAGAAGGTGGATTATACGAGCAAGTAATGAATATAGGAATTCCAGTTCGTGTTGAACCTGGACTGTGAAGTGTTCCGACGTGAAGTTAGAGTCCACTGCAATTAGAACCCCTCCTGCACGTCGAGACGAACGGTCCTTTCTAAAAGTTGTGTACCGTCTTGCCAAAACCTCGGCTTTAACCAGGTTTCAGCAAACACAATAACGTTGGAAGCAAATGCAACACTATCCCGGAAAAGAATGCTGAGCTTACTACGTAAGCCTCTAACATTCTGATAGGTTACTAACAGAGAAGTTCATTTTGGAAGGGTGGAAGCAGGACGGGAAGATGAGGAAGATGAGAAGCAGGATGGCAAACTGGGATGATTTTTAAGAGCCATGAGGGGCCTATTCTTCTTCTTAGCCTTGAACTCCTTCACCACCAAATGTTCTGGCCAAAATTTGGCAGAGCAAATGGAGCAATAGGAGGAGAGGAGAACAGTTGCAGCAGCAGCTAATGAGAGAGAGAGCTACTGAACAGATAGTTATGAGAGCGAGAGAGAAAGAACAGTCAGTGAAGTTGAGGTGATAGGGAAAGAGTGATAAAACAACAAAAGCTACCAGACGAGAGCGGACTGCAATGCAATGTAATGCGTACTCACTCACTGCAACAACACAAACACAAGCACAAGCACAAGCCGACGCCGACGCCGAAAAATATAAAGTTAAATAATGTTTTAACACAAATCAAAAGGCATGCGCTCGCGTAAATGAATAGGTTTCCAGATTGTTGTCTGGTTAGAAAGTATAATTAGAATTTAGTTAGGAAAACACCGGCTGTTTATTCAAAACAAAAGGAAAAAATGCGGAGCGCAAAACAAAAACGCGTCTGATCTACGAAAGAGAACGAACGAAAGTTAAAAAAAAGGCGCGCGACGATTGGAGTTTCCTTACTCCTTAAAAAGTTCGACAGTGGTGCTTCAAAAGTCGTTTATAAAATCGTGACAGGTGAAAAATCATGGATATATGCGTATGAGCCGGAAACCAAACTTCTTGTTCTTTTCTTTTTTTCACATAAAAAAAAACTGCATGGTCAACGATTTACGAGCGCCGAAGTAGTTAAAGAGTTCAAATCCATGTTTTGGAGATATTGATCATTAGGAAGAATATATTGAAAAAAATAAAGCTATTTTCATTTTAAAGTTTTGGTTCTTATTTGCTGTTCCCGAAATATAAATAGCAGCCCTCGTACATATATATATATCTATAACTTCTCTCTCTATTCTTAAGTGATTAAGCCACATATTTTTCAATTACATTAATTTTTTTCTTTCATTGATTTGCATACTGGTCGAATTTAAATACTTGTGTTATTTTCGGTAGGGAAACTTGTGTTTGCTAGTTTTTTCCCGATTATTTGGCAAAATGCCTAGTTTTAACTACCGAAAGATATACTGAAGTTATGCTAGCAATGAATATGGAATAGACTTATAATTTCCTAGTGACATGGTGACGTAATGGGATAGGGTGAGAATTATAGGGATTTCCAGAACCTTCTCACAACTGGAAATTATGGTAGGGTGGGTACAGAATCGTATGAGTCGACTCAAGACCATCTCAAGACCACACGCCGGCGATATTTTTGGAACAGGCAGTTTTCGTATATGCTCGGAATAGGCATATTGTTGTTTTCGGAGTTAGCTCCCGTTAATCCTGTCGGATTGTAATTTTTTTAAGTTTTTGTGTAGTAGGAGTCGAGACGCGGTGAGACGCGAATAAAGGCTGAAAATTTAGAAACTGCATTTTAAGTTTCGAAGTAAATCGAAATAATCTACAAATTTGAATAAATGAACTATGAATAAAACATGCCTTCGATAGACCCAATTTGACTAATTTGTAGCTAATTAAAGTCCATAAATATTCCAGCAGCTGTAGTAATCAAACTTGAATGACGTTTTATTATGCATTCGAGCTCTTGTGCGGTATGTACACAACTGAGGAACTAGCACACACCCAGCATATTTAAAGCATTTAGCTTAGTATATTACAATTAGACGTATGATAAAAAAATACAACATAGATGGAAAGACTTTGGAGCAAATGCACTTTTTATTCGATATTTAAATACATTTGTTTCAAATATTTGTTTAAAAAAAATCCCAAAAAAGTATCCAAAACCGTCATATAAAAAATTGTGTATTTGATGAAAACTATTAGACATAAGTTTTGATAAAATTCTGTATTTATAGAAGCACTTTGCCTTAAACGCCGCAATTAACAATTAGTGGGACAATGGTAGTCCATTTTTCAATAAACTATTATCGTCACTCAATTGACATGGTCCATCCCCAACCTTTGTGTGGATTATATACTTAAGTAGGTTTTTGGGTTGAACGTTTAACATTCCGTTAACTTTTCTGTGTTCTGCAGTTGTATGGATTGAATTGTCGGTTGCACCATCTGAATTTTTTTCTATATTCGATTCTGGTGAAACGGCAAGACCCCGTAAGTACTCAACAGTATCTATTGAATCAGTAGGGAAAACTTTTTGAATTGCTGCTAGTAACTTTGCAACATTTTCCTTTAATACATAAATGCATGCGTTTGGACCAGCATCAAATGTGTACGCTGCATGCACTGTACCCGTAGTTTTATTGTATGTATGTACAAAATTAACTATAGCATGAGACACATCGTTCATATAAACGCATGGTGGATAAGTGTCCAAGGCGATTGCATGAAACTGATTTGAGTCTTTCATCGTTATCTCAGCAAATGATTGAAAATCACGAGCTTTTATGGCCTTTTTTAAATTCGCGATCCTTTCCGGAACTAGTTTATCAACTCGATGCTGAATTAACTGCGATGTAGTCACAGAACGTTGCATACCTGTAGTGGAGCTTGTTTTTTTTCGTTCATCGTTTACGACTAAAATGAGTACATGCATATTCGGCCAATGTTGGGCTGATGCAACTGGTTCAGCGACAGAGTCGCTGCCATCATCAAGAACTCCACGGTGCCATTGAACAAAACCACCAAATAAACTACGACATGCAGAACCACTACCTTGTCGAGCTATAGTCGTCAATTCTTCAGTAAGGGGGATACCATATAAACGTGCCAGGGAATATACCAGGCAAGCGTAACCAGCTGCACTTGATGCAAGACCAGCAGCGGTAGGAAAATTGTTACGCGATGCAATATGTACTTTCCAACAGAGTGAAGCTTCTTGAGAACCATTAATATGCGCTAGACGTTGAACTAAAAATAAAAAGAGATGTACAAAATAAATTAAAATTTCATATTAAAAACTCACCTCCTTTTAAACAGCGCATAAGACGAGAGTCCTCCTCGAAAAGCAATTCCTCATCATTGAGCCACATTCGATTGTGTTGAAATTTTTCTGAGGCAGTTATTGTTGTCTTCGCGCAAAGCTATAAAAACACACAAATATACAGGTCACAATACAGACAATATTATCATAGACAATAGACATAAAACTTCGCCCCGCCGAAAATCATATGCCGCGATTGTAACTACTAATTTATATAAATTTTAGGAAAGGTGCTATTTATATTTCTGGCCTAGTTAACTTTTAGCTTTATTAGAACCCAATTGTCATTTACATTAAAAAGTTTGGAATTTTAACGATAAACGTAAAATTCATCTCAAGAAAAAACTTTAACTTTAAAAAAACGTAGGTAAGGTTAGGTAGAGGCGGCTGCCAAGCTCGCTGGGAGCCCGACACACTAAGGCCGGTTTCGGCCCGTTGTGATACCGCTTGGGATCATTCCCTCCCTTTCATGTCAACAGTTGTCCCATCCAGATGCTCTTATAAAGTTTGCGTCCTTTCTGGGACATAACGTAGACATCTCCGAGATGTCGTTCAGAAAGGCAGTGCCTAAGTGTTGTAGCCTCCTTCTGCTGAGAGCTGGACAGGAGCAGAACAGGTGTTCCTTTGTCTCCTCCTCGTCCTCGTCTTTGCAGCTGCGGCAGAAATCATTGTGTGGGGCACCCAGCCTGTTTGCGTGGTTGCCTACGAGCCAATGTCCTGTGAGGGAACGTATTACTGCGCTGCACCTTTCCCTGCCTAGTTTGCAGAGCTCTGAGGTGCGCTTCTTATCTATGGTCGGCCATGTTTGCCGAGCTGTGCGACAACGTGACCCTATTTGCCACTTTTCGTCTGCCAGTCGCTTGTACTGATCTTTTATAATGATCTTGCAGGTGGCCATAGGCATACAAATATCCTCCTTATCTTGGAGAAACCCCGCACCAAGTACCACATCTGGCCAGCTCGTCCGCTATGCAGTTGCCCTCGATGTCCCGGTGGCCCGGGACCCATATAAGGCTGATAGCAAATTTCTGAGCCATCTCGTGAAGAGATCTGCGGCAGTTCGCCACAGTAGCCGAGTTCGAGGAGATCGCGTTGAGTGATCTGATCGCAGCTTGGCTATCGCTGTAGATGTTTAGATTGGTTGCCGTGGCGGTAACCGTGTGAAGGCAGTACAGAGCCTCCCTGATTGCTGTAACTTCCACTTGGAAGACGCTACAGTTATCCGGAAGCCTGAAAGATTGTCTTATGCTTAGCTGTGCAGAGTAGATTCCTCCTGACCCTCCGACCCTGCCGTCCAGCTTTGAGCCATCCGTGAAGATGCTTATGGCCCCGTCTGGGCCTGGGAGTCCCTCTACCCATTCGTCTCTGTGAGGCATGATGGTGCTGAATGGAGTATCCGTGTGCTCCCTTGGAACTTGATAGTCCGGTCTTACTGGGACAATGTTGTTATACCCGATACTCAAAATGAGTATTGGGGTATATTAGATTTGTGGTAAAAGTGGATGTGTGTAACGTCCAGAAGGAATCGTTTCCGACCCCATAAAGTATATATATTCTTGATCAGCATCAATAGCCGAGTCGATTGAGCCATGTCTGTCTGTCCGTCTGTCCGTCCATCCGTCTGTCCGTCCCCTTCAGCGCCTAATGCTCAAAGACTATAAGAGCTAGAGCAACGATGCTTTGAATCCAGACTTCTGTGATATGTCACTGCTACAAAAATATTTCAAAACTTCGCCCCGCCCACTTCCGCCCCCACAAAGGACGAAAATCTGTGGCATCCACATTTTTAAAGATACGAGAAAACCAAAATCGTAGAGAATGACGATATCTTTTAGACTGCGGAATCTGAATTGGATCGTATTATTATTATAGCCAGCATCAAGAAAACAATTTCATTTTTTCTCGCCCTGTCTCTCTCTAACACACACGTAGCATAGGCGGCTTTGCTTAGAATAAAACATTAGCGCCTAGATCTCAGAGCCTATAAAAGCTAGAGCAACCAAATTTGGTATCCACACTCCTAATATATCGGACCGAGACGAGTTTGTTTCAAAATTTCGCCACACCCCCTTCCGATCCCGCAAAGGATGAAAATCTGGGGATATTCATAAATCTCAGAGACTATTAAGGCTAGAGTAACCAAATTTGGTATCCGCACTTCTGTTAGATCTCACTATAAAACGTATATCTCAAAATTTCGCCCCACCCCCTTCCGCCCACACAAAGGACGAAAATCTGTTGCATCCACAATATTGCAGATTTGAGAAAACTAAAAACGCAGAATCATAGATAACGACCATATCTATCAGATTGCTGAATCTGGATCAGATCAGATCATTTTTATAGCCAAAGGAAACAAATCAATTTGCAGTGGCTACGCAGCGCGTGACGTCACGCTCAGACTGATTTTCTGTCTCTCTCGCACTCTTTGTCGTGTCGTTTAATATTAGCGGCGTCTGCCGGAGGAGAGCCATACTGACTTAGTATCGGGTATAACTGTAGAGTTGCGGTGTCCGCAGCAGCTCACAACGTTCCCCCTCGTTTTTATTTAGTATCGATGAGTGACCTGAGTGCTGAGGTACCCATTGTTCAGAGTCTCCAAGACGTATTGCTCCCATTTCTGCCCGCTCCTTTCCTGCAAGGTCAAGGCTCTGGAGGCATAGCATGGTGTTTGGCGCAACATTTGGTGTGGTTCGAAGAGCTCCACTGATGCAGAGGTCGGCCGTTCGCTGAACTTTGCCCAGCTGATTGGTGATTGTCCTTTTTGTTAGGACAGGCCACCACACAGTAACTCCGTAGAGGTCTGTAGGTCTGAAGGTCTGTAGGTCTGACTATTGCCAGATATATCCATAGGACTATGCTTGGGTTAAAAAAAAACGTAACACATGAAAATTTCTGTGTCATGATTTTCTACCATATTTTATGTCGATTTTTAAGCCAAGATTAGATTAGTTCAACCTTGCATTGCCAATGTGAAAAACCTTTCAACGAATTCAACCGTGGAGTCCTTCCTTGCAGGACGAATTTCGTGAAGGTGGCCCAAAATCTCGATGATGTTCGCAAAATGATTGAGGCGGATCGTTAGGTCACGGTCATGTACCGTGAGATTGAGACATCTTTGAGCATTAGCATGAAGTACATCAATATGATTTTCCATGATGACCTCCTGGTAAATCAGTTCTGTTCGCTTTGAATCCCACACAATGTAAAAGTTGGCCAACATGAGACTCGTGTCGATTGGTGTAAGAGAATTATCAAAAAAAAAAACATTATCATTGTGCATAACATCTACACAGCTGACGAATGTAACGAAGTGTAGATATCCGAATTTGAGCCTTGTTTCAGAGATACTTCCTTCTGTGTTCCAAAGTGCTGAGTTCCTATGTATTCGTCTTCATAAACACTATTCTGTTTCTGTTGAGCCAGAAATATAAATAGCAACTTTGTGAAATATGAAGGCCGTCGGAATCGGCCGATTATATAGCCATATCATATAGCTACCATAAGGTCATTCGGTCAAAAGTCGTTCTTTCCATATACCTTTTTCCTGCTATATATATCATGTTCTAAATTTATTCAGACTTAACTAACTTAAACAATTGATATATCATTTTGTTAAATTTGATGTAACAACTATTATTGCCGCGCTGGGCAAGCCTCCAAATCTTGGGCCGTACGTTTGTTAAGCCTCCCGCGTTTAATAGGCCTCCTGTTGTTTGTTGTTCAAGTCCTGGTTTTATTGAGGTGTTTTCAGTTACAAAGATCTGTGCTGTTAGGCGCAGTGATATTTATTCTCCCCTTCGCAAACTTCGTCGCTTGTCGTGATGTTTGCCAAACTTCTGGTTAAGCCTTGGTTCATGGGTGGATTCGTTGTCTTCACGTCTAACTTTGCCAGTTTAACTGTGGGCCGAGTGCGAAGTCCAAGCATAACTCCTATTACGCTGCTGTCACCCTTTGTTGTCAACGAGCTAGTTTCTGCTCTCAGAAAGTGATTCAGTGTAAGTACGTCAGCTTCCGGACACTCCACAGCACGTAAGTCAGGGGTCGGGAACTTAGCATATTTTCTATCCTTGCTAGTGCTGTTCTCAGCACTGGTTCTTGTACGTGTGTCTGCTCTTAGATTTCGGCTAGTATGGATTTCACCGATGTGATCATACTCTCCCACGCACCTCTCATATGGGGTGCTCCTGGGGTTATGAAGGACCTTTCTATTTGCGGCAACTTGGTTTCCAGTTCGTTCTTTCAATTTTTTCTCGTAAAAGGCGGCTGGCTCCCCGGAATTTCGTCCCGTTGTCCGACACGATTCTCTTGGGGACTCCTCGACGGGCTAAGAATATTTCCAATGTTAGCATGAAGCCGTCTGTTGACAGGAAGTTTGCCAGTTCGATTTGTACTGCTCGCACGGTGAGGCACGTGAATAGTACTCCCCATCGTTTCTCGCGTCGTCTTCCTACGTTGACCTCAACTGGTCCAAACTAGTCGATACCTGTGTTTGTGAATGGCAATTCGTTGATTGCTAGCCTCTCTGGTGGTAAGCTTCCCATCTCCGGTGCCTCTGGAAGCTCTCTTTTATTGCGACATCTTTGGCAGTACAATTGTCGCATCTCGTTGACGACGATCTCAGTAAGCTGATGCTGAAACTTCCAATGGAAATAATCAATGAGAAGAATAGTGACGTTATGTCCTCCGGGTAGAATTGCTGGCCGTTTCAGGTTCCTCGTTATGCCGATCGATCAGTACACCTGTTTCATCGGGATACGGTGATAATTTGTAGATCGCACTTTTCCTACTCAAGATTCTTCCTTGTCGTAGAAGAGCCATTTCTTCAGAGTAAGCCTCTTCTTGGACCATCCAGTATATAACGATGTTGACATCTTCCATGTTGCGAAAGCAATTGACTAAATTTGCCTCCTCTGATGCTAAATCTTTTTTGCATATTTTGTCCAGAAATCTCTTCACGCATCTCAGGGCTTCCGTGAACTTTTCCCATTTGCTAAAGCGACATATATTTGGGATTATGCTACTTAGCTTTGATGGTTTTGAAGATGGCGATTTCGCCGTATCTATCAACTCGTGTACGAGTATCGGTTCCAGATTACT